TCCCAGAATTCCCCAGCCAGCATGCTGGCTGGGGAATTCTGGGAGTTGAAGTCCACCCATCGAGGCTGAGAAACGTGGTACTAAGAGCTAGAAGGCTTAAAGAGGCATAAAGCACATACAAATAAATAAATACCTTCTGCGTTTAAGAGTTTGCGATCTTTGTACAGATCGGTAAGAAAAAGGCTGTTCACCAGAGTGGACTTCCCCAGCCCAGACTCTCCTGAGGAGAAAGAGGAGGAGGAGGAACAGTTAATATTACACAAGAGGAAGATGGGTTCTTAAGAAATAGTCTTTCTGAAGGAAAAAGAGGCAAATGTAAGGAATACTTTAAATAAAGAGGACTACTTTAAATAAAGAAAACAATCACTGGCAATTTGCATAGCAAGGCTGTATAGTTAAAACCAATCTTCCCATTTCTAGCTCTTTGGCATCTGCAGCTTAGACTGTCCATCAGTTTGCTAAGGAATCCAACTGTACAATCCAAGCCAAGACTTTTTTTTTTAGATGAGCTGGTACCATTGATCAGTAAGAAGAATCAAGCAGAGCTAGGCTTTGAAGGAGTCTATCAGGACAAGACTACAGTAGTATAGGAGTTTATAATGGAAAAAACCAATAGAATGCAATTAGATACTAAGGTGGTATGTGCATATGTAAGAGTTCCTAAGTTCCTGCACCAAATCACATGCCATGGAACCGGAAGGGCTCTGGGGAGCAACTGCCAATTAGCAAAATGGTACAGTACTAGATTGGCTTGTAAACCACTATTTATGTGATCACCTACTGTTATGTTCAAATCATCACAGACAGCCAAGCAGAAAAATTCTGCCTCTCCTCTTTAAACCTCAAATACATCATTAGCACAGGTAGGTGAATACAGACTGGCCAATAAAGAATACAGTGGTACCTCGGGATACGAACGCCTCTACTAACGAACATTTCGGGTTACGACCAGCTTCGGCAGGGAGATTTTACCTCGGGTTACGAACTTGCCTCTACTTACGAACCGGATCCAT